TCCGCCCCCGCGCCCTCCACCTCCTCCGCCGCCGCCTCCCCCGACCCCTGCGCCGCCCCCGGCGACGTCACCGTCAAGGAGGAGGGCCCCGTGTGGCGCCCCTGGTAGGCTCAACGCGTGTACAAATTTTTTATACACTTTTATCCGCCTCCCAGCTCGCGGCTCGGGGGCAAACTACATCGACGCTTTGATGGAACTGCACCTGGTGATTTCTCTCAAGACTTTGTTGCACTCGTTACAATGCAAAGACAATACCGGAATCTGCGAACTTCAAGTACTTTTATTTCCAAACCATTTCATTTATTGTTTTTCAACTTCACCAACAGTGCAGCGTCAAAGGCACTCATCTAGTAGACAATACGTTCAGTAATAGACATGTAGCTCGTGCATTGGTCCTTGGAATTACCACAGATACCGTCGCAGCGCTCTGTGTTTCTCCACAAACTGTTACTGTGAGAGACCCATCGCATCGGAACGTGAGATACGTGCAATGACGACTGCCAACTCGGCGCACTTTATTGTCTTAACCAAGGACACGGATTGACGATTGCCCCTTGAGAGCAGAACGTCTGTCGTTAACAATCCATACTTACAACATGCTAAAACCGTACAGTTTTAGTTTGCGACAGGTCTACGGACAATTTTTATTGCTCAACGAAAGCAATTGAAAAACTCCATCACCAAATCGCTTAACTGTTAACGTCAATCCTCGTCTTTGGTGAACCGCAGAAGCGGCGTTGGTCGCAACTCGCGGCCGTCCAGCGTCCGAGGTCACGTGACTGCACAAAGCACGCGTGAGCGCGGCCTCTTTCACGAAGCCCCGCCGCCCCCCGCGCCGCCCCACCCACGGGCGACTACTTGGATCACGCAGCAACGCGACGCTCTGTTCCGTAGCTGAGGGCAGCTAGGCCCCGTCACTGTTCTCCCACCGGCTCGTCGTATCGTACGTAGAACGTAGCGAAACGCGTTCGCCTCAAGGCAGCGTCGGAGCGAGTTGCGGGGTTTAGACGCTACACCCCTGAGCCTTGACCAGCTGAGAGAGGGCATCAAAAACGCCATGGATAAACGAGGGAGTTTATATTTTTAACTAACCATTATGTGTGAAAATTTTTATCATTCAGGGTATTCCAGAATTTTCGCATACAAAAATGAATTAATGAAATAAAAGTATAAGTTGCAGAAGCGACATATGTTTAGTACAATAATACTGCCCTAAAAGTTTATTTTTACTAGCGTCTCGCAGTACCTGTGGCTCAGAGGTTTGTGTCTCGCTTCGATCCTGCCTCGGGAGCGCGCGCATGGGACCCCGCGGCCACCCACGGTGCGCGAGACCAGTGTTGCCAACGGAAGGGAATTTTATCCGCAGTTGTGCTGTAACTTCGTTATGTTGTAACGCGAAGCTGGCAGTTTTGGGTTTCGAGCTCCCTGCGAGATTTATTGATGATTCGGTCGTATTTTCAGAGGATCTGCAGTGGATGGGGGAGGTATAATGACTGTAAGGAATGTTATTTAAATAGTATGTATTTCCGACTATTACTATATTATTGATTTCATACTTTCAAATAATTCAGTAATAAATACTATTTTAAATTAGGACTTTGCAAAGGTGAGAATCTCAATGTTTGAAAAACGTCATTCTCCATACGTGAAAAACGAATAAAACAAATGGTCTACTCGTGATCCTGATTATTACGAATACCTATGTTCTAAATTTGCATATCAAATTAGTTCCAAACATTATTCACAAATATTGTTCCCCCCAATCCTCATTTCCGGCATTAATTCTCAAAAGAGCCACCCTCATCTCACATGAATTGGTCCCCGAGGTAGCAATGGTACATTTGAAGCAAGTGAAAACCGCTGGAAAAAGGCCATCGCGACTAAATTTCTAATTAACAAGTGTGTTTTGCGCAGTGAATATGAATGTTCAAAAAAGCTCTCAGGAAAAGGTGTAACGAGAAACAGCGCAAATGCTTTCCCTTGGCAACTCTTCCACGCTCGCTCCGGACGCCCAAAGGACTAGTGAGGCGTGTCAACGGATGGCCCACGGGTGCCCGGGGACGAGAGCGGAGACGGAAATGAAGACCCGACACACTAAAACCCTGTTAAATCAATAGCGACAAGGTGACGAGTACACAAAATTTTGATCGGTACGGTATTTTGCATTTCTTTCCAAATTTTTAAATTTTCCTCGATGATATGTCGATTTTCATATTTTAATTCAAACTGTTGGCACAAGGTTGAATGATAGCCGTTGCTCTTCTTTATAGGACGGGATCACGAAATTTAATTACGTTTTCGAAAGTTCAAATTCAGCACACAGCCAATTCTCAGAAAGGATCCTTGTGGGACGCTGGCATTTCAAACGAGTTATAAAAATATAAAAATTCAATGAATTCTCCTATCGACAGAGTTACTATTAGATTCTCCGATACTTAAACTCAAACTTTAGAGACTTGCCGCAATATTGATTTCATTCCGTTCTAAATAAACTATGTACATCTACGTTAGGAAGTATTTAATTCGAACTTCTGTTATATTAATATTCAATATAATTAACAAAAGATTCACGATCCGTACCTTATAACATACTCGGATAAAGACACTTAACACGAAGCTCCCATTTTCGTACTCGTCATCGCATTCACTTCTGGTCTAATCTACAAATGCCTCCACTCTGTTTATCGTCCCTGGGCAAGAAAGCAGCAACTCTTCTGAGCGAAATCGTCTTTGGCCTGATGCGATTCGCTGCACTTTGTCCTAATCGCTCGCAGTGGAATGTCTAAGGAAGTGTTAGCAGAATCCGAAGCATGCCTAGAACCCGATTTGTTTCCGTCAGTCCCAACAGACAGCCGCCACTTCGGCTTGGTCGAGCCCAAGCATACTAAACTGTTGTTTGTGTAGAGTGCAAACCATTTTAGTTAGCATGAAACAAAGCATTGGTTGTGATAGAAGGAAATTCTGTTTGTGAGAAGTGAAGAAGTATAGTTTGAAAAAATTGAGAACAAATTGCATTAAAAGACTGAAACCATGTTTTCAGAAAATAATCTACACGTTTCAGATGACCTTGAAAGTAACTAAAGTGTGTTCCAAGTAACTTGCCTTTAGAAGTTACCAATAAACGACGTAATCCCAATTTTTTCAAACTCTTACCAGGTGGAAAGGTTCTGCATTTATTGGCCGCAGATACATAAAGGTAACTTATTGAACTTTTGTTCCCTACGCTTCGCTTAAAATCTATTTAAGTGCGTTGAATTTCATGTCAAAAGTCGTAAATACAACATCGAACTGTAAAGAGTTTTCTTCGGAAATATTTATTCTGATAAATTACTTACCAAATGCATTATATTTTATTCACGAAATACTTTACATATTTTACGAAACGAGCAATACAGTATGAGAGGGAACTAACTCAAAATTCAAAATATAGATTTATCACGTACACAAAAGGTGATAAAATAATATATTAATAAATAAACGTTTTAAATATTTTGAGTTATGTCTCTTTCTCTCTCTCACTGGATGTCTCAACTGCAATTTTCCACATGCGACAAAGTGCTAGTCATTGTTGGTGCTTGAACTGACGAGTGCTTGCGCTCCGCCCTGCTGCGGCTGCCTGGTCGGGAGCGCGTCCATGGTGCTACATTTCTCGAGGCGCGCTCGCACAGACGGACACTCACTTCGCTTGGTTTCTAACGTTTGCGTTTCCAGTGATTTAAGCCAAACGGTTAAAATGCATTTTTTTTCTCGACTCGTAGACTGTTTTAGAATATTTGTAAATATGTACAATGAATTAAAAATGTAGAAACGCAAGGCCAAAGTACGCTCCTTCGAAATCTTACGCTAGTCATGCAAGAGTGCGGATGAGGAATTGTGATGTATAATGAAGAGTATTCATACTTTTAAGAATGAAAAATTCTCAAGTTGGAATCATCTAATTAAATCATTGCTGACCTGATGAGACACTGTTCGGTATTAATAAATAACCGCTGAAAATCTTAGCGCTATCTGTGGATCACACAGATAGCGGCAGTAAATTATTTCGAGCTCTTGGCAGCTTCTTCGAAATATTTGATTGAAATATAGGAAAAAGTCTCCCAAAACTTGTGAAATATTTTAAATTGTATATATCGTTAATTTTCTAAATTCAGTTTAAAAAATTAAAAAAATCTGGCGTACTTACCATCACGTCGCATTCGCACTCAACCAAAGATGACATCTGTTGTGGCGCCTACCGACACGGTAAACCTGAGGTCAGAGAAAAAAAACGTAGCTGTTACGATCGTGAAAATTAAAATTCTTAACAAAAAAACAACAACTAGATGTCCCGATATAAATCCGACCCTTAATTCTAGCGGGCATTCATCCGATCCTCGTCCTGTAGCACAGATAGCGTAGAGCCTGCTTGTCCGAGAAGCACCGAAGGCACATCCTGTCGGCAGGCGATCACACCATGGAAGAACAGCGGGTCGGGGCTCGACTGCTCGCCCGGGCAGTCGACCCCCGGCCCGCGCTCCAAACTCGTAGCGCGTGATGTTACTCGATGTGATTGTGCTGTCTACACACGTGTAAAGTCTATCGATGTAAATATAGTTTATGTAAAATAGAGAATGTGTTTTCAAAAAAAAATGTTCTACCTTCCATTTAATACCTACACTGTTCCTTATAATTATCCCAACAAATTAAATGAAATCCAAATTAGTTCGTAAGTTTCTAAGATGTTAGGTTTTCAACCGTAAATTAGAAGTAGATACATCAGTTTATGGTGCAATTAGATTGTAAACATTTTTAGAATATTAGAGCCTGGATCAGGTTTTTAAATTTATACGAACGCAGTGTCATGCCTTATATTTTTTGGAAATAACATTACACGTTTATAAAAGAATCAAAGTTAATTTTGGAAACAAATTTAATAAGTAAACTTTTGCCTCTGTCAACATGGACGGCGATATGAAGTTACGCCTATTTGACATCTAATAACAGATTCACGCGCGAACATATGAATAAAGATGGATTCGTTGCTGGTAGAGCTTTCAGAAAAAAAAATGTATTGCGAAAAGAATGCGTGATACCTAAAAGTCGAGTGAACTGTACGAGAAATAATATATTTTTAAAATGGAAAAATTTGGGTGGAAAAGAACGTTAAAATTATTTGTGATGCAGTTCATCTAGTTCAAAGAAAAAATTGTCATAACTATGACGTGTGATGACACAATTATTCATTCCATAAATTGTTAATACGTCGTAATATGTGCCATAAAATGCCACTTTATGAAATAGCAACTTGCAACAGAAAGGACATTTATAATACTGGTGAACAAAACATCATTTCATATTCCTTAAGACATGCGAACCAGAATTATATAGCTAAATGGCATGGATAATTCTCAAACTATGCAGGTACACATATTCGTATTCGAGTACCCGTTCGTAAATCAAATGTTTTTCACTTGTTCCCTAGATGTGCAGCGCAAGAGGGTCTTCATGCAATCTATCACATCAAACAGGTAATCTTATGTATTTCCATCCACTGTGTACTAAAATCGTCATCCCGAACAGAAAGCAGGCTCTTATCTCTTAGCGTAACGAAGGAATTGATCTACTCACTTCGTGGAGAACATGAAAAACGACAATATCAACCTACGACACGAGTGGAATGGACTCATAATTACAACCTCAAACATTAAAAGCGCAGTGGCGCTTCGCACGCGGGTCCAATGACACCTCGAGGTCCCGGCCTTAGGCCTACGCGATAACGCCAAACATCTTTGCGTCTATAAATTCTTGGCTATCCGGGAGACGCCGCGTCGTTGGCTGAGAGGCCGCCTGATATGTCGCAGGCTTCCTCAGGGCAGGGAGCTGCCCTGAAGAAGCCTGCGACGTGTCAGGCGAAACGTCAGCCTCTCAGCCATCGACGCGGCGTCTCCCGGATAGCCAAGAATTTATGGATTCGAGCCGCGGAAGCTTACGTGTGCATCTGTCAGTCTATCCAAATTGTAATTTGCAATGCATTTTATAACAGGAAATTTTTCTCCCGAACACTTCTATTCCATTCATTCAATTCTACTCCATTCAACCATTTTACACTTTGCTTCGAGCGCCAAAGTTGGGTGACAAAGCTCCGGCCTTCATCCTACGCGGTTAATGTAAATCATCCTTGAGGCAGAATTTCTCGCGGCCCCGAAGCCTACTCGACACGAAAAAAGGATAACACTAAAAGAGCATTTTAATAATAAAAATAACTAGCTGAACCCTTCTAATTTCATTGCACAAAAGGAAGAACTACAAAAGTTACAAAAGAAAAGTAAATCATCCACTACAATAGCGGCTACGGCCCCTTTCAATTTAATCTGTGCCATGTGTCCATGAAATTGTTGGGGCTCGTCTTCATCTTGCTACGAAACAAACTACTATCAGCAAAGCCACATAGCAAAGATTCCTTGTCAAAATATATTGAGTTACATTTCAATATATTCAAAACATATACTAATAAATTGATATTTTATTTGAAACTACACTCATTGTAGTTTAACAATGTGTTTTTGGTACCGCTGTCTTACAGACCTTTCGAGTCATTTCAAAAAAGAATAGGAGAAGCACATTTTCAGGAACATTTCTTACCCACTCAAGTATCTCCCCAGTTACAAAACTCCCTTTTTTCTTTCACATAACTATCTTTGGTTTCAATGGAAACATGTCAAAATTTGTAGCTCTTGCTTCTTCTAATATATCTGGCGGAGTATCGATTACTTTCAAATTATCTTCCATTTCAAGATCTATTACATCGATAGAACATGACATTTCGTTACAACTAAAGAAAACACAAGAACAACGATCAACAAGAATGTGGCCATGGTAACAGAACTGTTGTTGGCAGAACTGATCTACTGAATCACACTACATTTCATGCATACGATATTATTTAATTACAAGGAAACGTGCATAAAAAGATTCTCGATTAAAATTTTGTAAATCACACGGCAAAAGTCTCTGTTCATGTCTCGACAAGATTCACCATTTCGGCTTGCTGGCCTCGGCGGGTAAACTCTCCAGTCTCGTCATAAAAAGGTCGACTTTCTTGCCTTGTAGTGTAAATTACTAGTTTCAGGTAGTTCATTACTTTTTTCTCTAAGACTAATGAAATGAAGGAGGTTTACAATTTCTGGAACAATATTTACTAATCACTGTGTCACCTAATTAGCCCTAATTTAAAAACGTGCTGTACCACGCTTCCTTATTAATCACCAATTTTTAACAGGAAACCTGTTTTAAGCAATAGCAGAACATTGCGTTTAATACTCTAACTAATTCGTGGATGTAAAAACATTCAATCTTCAAAATTTAAACGAATCTCGCTATCTGAGAATATCACTATACCTCCTCGCTTACACACGCTTTCTCGAGCTAGTCCAAAACCTTGTAGAATAATGAACAATGGCTGCAAATAAATGCTCTTGTTCTAATTTTACGGTTTTATTAAAAAGTGTATAGTAAACACTTACATTATAAACCGGAAATTAATAAGTACGCGATAACACATCTGGGATCCACTATCTTTCATATAAAGCAAAAACTACAAAATTTGTTTGAGTAGAAAGATCAAATTTCTATTTAATCGAAAACTGGTAATTTTTGAATAATAATAATAATAATAATAATAATAACAATAATAATAACAATAATAACAACAATAATAACAATAATAATAATAACAATAACAATAATAATATTCCTAATTAATATTATTATTGTTTTTATTATTATTATTATTATTATTATTATTATTATTATTATTATAATACCTATTAGATATTGCCTACGCTGGGTAGTAATTCACCTTTCAGGGCGTACGATTATTTTTTTATTTTGTTCTTTTCAAGTTCTATGTGGTAAATCTTCCTAATTTGTTTAGATATGTTTTTAAGTCCTAGACATCGTCCAAATCTTATTTCTCCACATCTTCTGCGAAGAGTCGAATTTCGGTTTTTATGTCGCGATCAGTGCCGTTTACATTCGCAATGAATAGAAACGAACCTAGAATATGTCTCTAAGAAATCTCCGACATAACTTCGATACTTTGCACACGTTTATCACCTACTCTTACTCTTTGAGTCCTCCCATCGAGACATTATCGTATCAAACATACTACTCTAGCTTGAATTTCGCCCAGCGAATGTTTTTATTAATCGATCATGCGAAACAAAATTATTAGGATTTTCAAAAGACTATAAATACTAAGTGAATTCTCCCTCCTACATCGAGGGAGTCAGCAATAGATGAAAATTGCTTTATCAAGAGTATCCAAGTAAAAAGTCGTGATGCTCTTCCAATAGCGAGTTCTTGAAATTATTAAATAGCACCGGGCAAGGTGACTGATGGTTAGAGTCAGGGAAGGAAGTAATTCTCTCATGCAGATTAAGTGATCGGCGTTTACAAAATTTGAGGTTGAATAGACTAGAGAATGAGTATCTTATCGGTGTTTGTTCAAGGTTGTCATAAACTACGAACGGTGAGGACCATTAACGTTGAAAAAACCTTTGTCTAGTCATAAGAAATATTTTGGTATTTTTTTTGTACTTTGGAGCTAGTTAGATATAGTTACTTTATGAAATTTTGAGGCTTGTTTGGTAGTTTCCTATACCGTAGTTTGTCCACAGCTTAGACATCTGAATGTAACTTTTCAATAGTTACTTGTAAATCCTAGAGATCAACATTGCCTTCAGCTTATTACGGAATTATTTTTCCTTCAAAGTCAAACAGATATAATACAATAATAATATATAATATATAATATATAATATATAATATATAATATATAATATATAATATATAATATATAATATAATATTATATATTACATATTATATATTATATATATTATATATAATATATCATATAATATAACGAATAATTAAATAATTTTGTAACTTTAAAAAGTTTTTAAACGCCTTTAATATCTGCAGCGTATATGGACATCGAAGACCTCTCCTGTCGGTCCAAAAACCAAACCTTCGGAACCTCTGAGGAGAGTAATTCGATACCGATTTGATCGGTATAACACAACGTTTCTCATTTAACCTTGTAGTTTCGATCACGAAAAGTTTTATACTAGTAACATTTTTTGTTAAAGAATAAAACTAACTTTCTAAAGTCATCAGAAGTAATCATAGATTTGAGAGTTTTTTGGAAGAGTCATAAAGTTATTACCAATCTCCTTCTGGATTTAACTGAAGAGTTGTTTATAATTG